CTGGTTTTGTGCTGCCCTAGGCATGATAAAACTCAAGCACCCCTCCCGCTCTCCCCCTACCGCCTTCTAAATATAGACACACACACACTAACAGACACACACACTCAGTCACTAACAGACACACACACACACTCACTAACAGACACACGCACACTCACTCACTAGCAGACACATGCACACACTCATTAACAGACACACAACACTCACATTTTTTTTTTAAATTCAATCCCCCCAGCCCCCTTACCTTTGGAAATGCTGAGGGGGGGTTCTCCCTTTCCCTGGCGTCCAGTGGGGCTGTTGAGCTGCTGGGCTGCTGGGCTGCTGGGCTGCTGGCCGGTGACTGCAGGCGGCGAGAGAGCACTGATTCTCCTGTTCAGCTCCCTCACGCGCTGCAGAGTGATGCCGGAATATGACGTCATATTCCGGCTCCTAGCATCACTCTGCGGCGCGCGAGAGAGCTGAGCAGAGAGCTCACTAATCAGTGCTCCCTCGCCAACGCCGCCCGCAAGGATTTTTATGTAAGCCGCCCGCCCGCCTGGATTGTCAGTTAGCCACCAGGCTAACAAGACATTTACAAGTGGTATATCTAATAGTGACAATAAAGCTCTAAAACACCTGTGTGGTATCCCCTATACCAACACTAAAAATACATACAATACAAACACAATAGGTGGAGTAAATAGTATACTTTCCTCTCTTATCAATGAATTCAGCAATGCTGTGGAGACAGAGAGGTATACAAATAGTGCAGATAACTCTAAATTACAATGAAGTAATTACATATGTAAGAATACACTCACAAAACTAGAGCCAACATTGGACCTGGCTCTGGTGTGGATGACCTTAGGATCTTTTTAGGGTGCTCCAAATCCCTCTGTGGATGGTCTGGATATCCGGTCTGTAGTATGGAAAGTTCCTCCCAGTGGTAAACAGCAGAGAATCCAGATAGGTGTAAAATAAAAATTTATTGAATACAGATAAAACAAAAAATGTAGGTGAAATCAATTTAAATAAATAAAACACTGCCAAAACGCATTTTGCCTAACGTGGCATCCTCAGTTGGCTAGATTACTGTTTGTAAGTCCATACAGTTCTTTATATGCTGTGTGTAATCAAAATTCGCGGTGTTATACTTCCTGGTTCCGGTCACGTGGAACCTCGGCGTTGATGGAACGCATTGTACTTCCTGGTTTTGGTCTCCCGCGTAAGTGGATCGCATTGTGCGTTCCATAAGAGTAACGGCGCACCTCTATTTCCCTCATATGTGCAGTCTATGTGTGTGGAACACACTTTGCGTTCCACCTAACTTAAAATAATTTATCATGAGAGTCTCTCAATTGATGTAATAAAAAATAGTCTCTTGGAACAATATACTTCTGTATATTGTTTAGTCCATCGGAATGATACATATTTAACAGGAAAAATACATTAATATTAGCTGATATACTTGGCGAGATAAATAAGTGCAAAATAGATTGGTTACATACATAATACCATCATTTTACATATTAATACAGCCACATTATATATAGTAAATTATGTATAATTACAAAATTCTTTCTCTTTGAATGCCAATCTTTAAAGTGACAGTGCAAGCTTAGTTTGAATTATACTAAGTTATGTGCAATCTCGTGGTGAATACATATATATGATTTTGCGTGGGCTCCCAATGTTATCCCACTTCACACAAAATCCTAAAAGTGAGATAGTGAATCCGGACAGATATTGTTTAAAGTGACACTGTGCCTTATTAGATATTCTTATTAGATAATGTAGCAGTACCTTCTTATAAATACAGAACGGGAGGGAAGGGGATTTAAAAAAGTATATATATTAAAAAATGGGGTTAAAAATATAAAAATATTACAATAAAAAATGATACAACTCAAATCTTGACATTGTGGAATCAATGTTCTAAAATTATAGATACATTTCATCTCCTCTTCTCCTATTTTCTTATTAAAATCTCCCCCCCTCCAATCTTTCTGTACCAATTTTATTGCGCAGAAGAACATATTTTGCGGGTCATTTTTATGGTGTATTTTAAAGTGATTTGAAACACTATGTGTTACTAGACCCTTTTTAATATTTCTTATATGTTCTACAATTCTTATATACAGGCATCTGGTGATTATTCCCACATATATGAGATAGCAGGGGCATTTCAGGATATAGATTACATTTTTGGAGAAGCATGTTAACTGATTTTTAATACTAAATTCTTTATCTTTTTGGTAGTGAAAAGAGGTAATGTGTCTTTTTTTCTGATTCGTTTCTCTGCAAGCTAAGCAGGATCCACAACCAAAAAACCTTTTATTCCTATTTAAAAAATGTTTGTTTAATTTTAAAACTACTTTTTACTACCATCTGTTTTATATTTTTACATCCCCTGTATACCACCTTCGGTTGACTTTTTGGAGCATTGGCATATTGGGGTATAATGACAGCTTTTTTTGTCAATATAGCTGTTAGCATCTACCTCCTTAAAATGATTCCTCGTGTGTATTGTTGACCCTAAAATAAAAATTTCCACATCTAAAAAATGTATCTGATTATTGCTATATGTCGAGGTTCCACGTGACCTGAACCAGGAAGTATAACGCCGACGGAGGAATGGAACGCAAGTTGCTTTCCACTTGAAAAAGACCGCGAATTTTGATTACACACAGCATATAATGAACTGTATGGACTTACAAACAGTAATCTAGCCAACTGAGGAAGCCACGTTAGGCGAAACGCGTTTTGGCAGTGTTTTATTTATTTAAATTGATTTCACCTACATTTTTTGTTTTATCTGTATTCAATAAATGTTTATTTTACAACTATCTGGATTCTCTGCTGTTTACCACTGGGAGGAACTTTCCATACTACAGACCAGATATCCAGACCATCCACAGAGGGATTTGGATCACCCTAAAAAGATCCTAAGGTCATCCACACCAGAGCCAGGTCCAACATTGGCTCTAGTTTCATGAGTGTATTCTTACATATGTAATTACTTCATTGTAATTTAGAGTTATCTGCACTATTTGTATACCTCTCTGTCTCTACAGCATTGCTGAATTTGTTGATAAGAGAGGAAAGTATACTATTTGCTCCACCTATTGTGTTTGTATTCTAACAAGACATTAGACTGGGCATTTGGGGCAGCTTTTTTTGCCTCCCCCTGGAAAGTGCTGCCCAAGGCAAAATGCCTTGTTTGTCTCGCGGCTAATACGTCCCTGCACTTACTACTTTACATTGTAGCAGAGTGTCATTTCTTCAGTGTTGTCTCATGAAAAAATATAATAAAGTATTTACAAAAATGTGAGGGGTGTACTCACTTTTGTGAGATAATGTAGATTGAAAGCTAGATTGATATACACAATGTCCTTCAAAGATTTTTTTTTAGCGATGTTCAGGATTTTAGCATTAGACAATTATTTCCATGTATTTTGACATATTTCATTTGATATATAATTACAATATGAAAAGTTTTCCAAATTCCTAGAATTTAGTGTGTTTTTTATTTATTTTTTCTCCTTTTTTTTCAAAGCAGATCTGTTACTTTTCAGTATTTCATAGAGATATTCTTTATGAAATACTGAAATTCCAGTGCAATCCAAATATATCATAAGAGAAGGAGAGACTACTTTGTATCTAGATAAAGCCTAGGGTTTGCAAAAGTTGACATAAGGATGAACTCCTCCATCAATTTTTGCCTTTCCCAGCGGCCATCACAAATCGCAGCTGTGGGACTCAGTCTTTGTAGGATCCTGCAATCTCGCATAATCCTCCATAGACCCCAGTGTTGTACTCTCGCACATGACCAATAGTACAGCAATGACGTGGCTCTTGACGACTGAAATGCCAGAAGCCATAAAAGACAACAAGACAAAGATGGTGGCGGCCATTAGAAACAGTCTCAGGAAGTAAAACTCACCTACCCTGCACTCTGCAGCCACCCAAACCACATCGGATCTTTCAGTTACGTGGGTCTTTGCGATATATGCAAAGACCCCCAAAAGTGGCAGATCTGCTTTAACCTTATAGAGAAATTGACTTCCTTTCAAAATGTAAAAAGCTAATTAAAAAAGGGATCATTTGACCTCAAATGTTATAATTTAATAAGTATGTGTATTTTTTAAAAAAAATATCTGTTTAAACTTTACACAAACATTATCTAAAACAATATGCATTGCATTATTAATTGTATATAGCACCAACATTTTTTTTAATATTAATTGCGAATACCATTTTCTCTTTCAGCGTTCTGGAGGAGCATTAGCTATACCACTCTGTGCTTTTCAAGGGACAGTATCTCTTCATGCACCTACTGGAAAAACCCTTTCTTTATCTACATATGAGGTAAGCAGTGAGGGTCAAAGAATTACACCAACATCTAAAAAGATAGAGGTATATCGATCAAAGAGTGTTGGACATGAGCCAAGCAAGGAAGATTCTCCCACTCAATTTCCAGACACCAATGTGAAGATCCATTTAGAAGTCCTAGAAATTTGTGAAAATGAAGAGGCTATGGACACAGTGTCAATAATCAGCAATATAAGCCAATCTTCGACTCAAGCCAGGTCTCCATCTCTACGCTACTCGCGCAAGGAGAATCGATTTGTTTCATGTGACCTGGGAGAAACTGCTTCATATTCCCTCTTTATTCCAACAAACAATCCTGACACTGACATTAACATTTCAATCCCAGACACAGTTGAGGCTCACAGACAGAACAGCAAGAAACAACATGTGGAGAGAGACAGCTATCAAGAAGAGATACAGTTGTTAAACAGAGCTTACCGGAAGCGGGAAGGGGAAGAAGATAGCTAAAGAATAAATGATCAATTATAATGAAGGCATTTTCTTTGAATTTAATTAAGCTTTATCCCTGATTTGCCTTGCTACACACATATTTCAATGTCTTTTTAAGTTATTTTTAAGGCTTTTTGCCTGTAGTGTATTAGATCTTTATTTTTATTTTTTTATTTTTTTTAAATAGAGTTAATTGAAAGCTTCTTCAAACACTTGACCTGATAATCCTTCATATCTATTTAGGATATTAAATTCATTATTTTTATTATAAAATAAATTCACATGCCAATTAGTATGAAAGTAACAATCTACAATTGTGACACATACAGAGAAAAAAATAAATTACACATTTGAATCATTTTGTGTAGTTTACATTTAACAAGATCAGGAGTGGAAACCTACTGCACTCCGGCTGCTATCGAACTACGGTTCCATGACTCAAGCAAGCTGATATTACACATCAAGGGAATAGTTCAAAAGAAGTGTCTTAGCTCAGGTATATCTAATCTGAATTGACCTGAGTTTAAAACTGAACATGCGTCCTAACAAGGCTTCATATAATGTTATGATGAGTAGATTTGTTCTGACCAAAAGGAAAATCTATCCACGAATGATAACGGTCCACAAGACTATTGTCCATTTATAAAAATGTATAAACATGTTAAAGAATAAGAAAAACAAGGTAGCAAGTATACTGTGTGTATTCTTGCAACCTGTGTGTTTGTTTAGTATTAAATGATAGAAAATTCTGCGCATATGATGATATTTGCTCAAAAACAGCAGCTGTGCATTCTGTGCTCGATGACATGTTAATTGACTAAAAAGCGCACATTGTATTTATCTAAAGACAGAAGATATTTACTCTCCTAATAGAACTTCGGAATTAGATAACCTGCTCCATCTAGGTAGTGTCTAATACGATTTGCATCATTTCCAGATGTGGTGCTTGCTCCATAGTGCATACTGATGGGAACAAAAGCAAAAAGTAAACTACTTCATTTATTCTAGTGCTGCTTTGTCTTAGTAACTTTACATTCATCTTACCTACAAACACCATCCTCTAACTTTACAGTTGTACAAGGCAATTGTTAATTACATAGAATAGAGAAAGAGGTTGCCAACGTTTTTTGAGCTTGGTGTATTTTCCATATCTGTTCTTGTACCATACCTGGCTTATATTAAATAAAATGACAAATTAGCAATTCTTAAATGTTTCAGTTTCTTATATCACAGTTCATTTCATGGTACAAAATAAAAATACATAATGTGTATTGAAATGTAGCGTTCTGAATAGTTGATGCTAAATGTAATTTTGATAATGGCATAAATTGCATTTGCTTCCTTTAGATAAGTCCCATAGTGTCCCTGTCTTTGGATTATATATTTATCTTTATACTTTACTGTTATTTTCATCATTTGGTAGAACAAGGACTTCGGATAGTAATCAGCTAGACCTTGGCTGCGTAGAATTGAAACAAGTGTGGTGTGTATATATATATATATATAGATAGATATATATATAAAGTCAATTACCTTGAGGGAACTCTCTAAATTCCTTGGTTGGTGCGATACCTTTATAGAGAATATTATCTCTTCAATATGTTCACTGGACATGTAAACCAATTTTCCAAGCTTGATGGGAAGGTTTCATATCTAGGATTTTCATCTTGTTTTACCATTTACGTGCCAAAAATTATATTTTGATATTAAGATCACATAAGAGTTTAAAAGAAGAAAAATAACACTTGTTATCTTTGACCTGTACATTTAGCAGACATTACCAAAATCTAAGCCTTGATAGAAATATATTAACTAGGATATTTAGTAGGACTGTTATTAATGATGGCAATTTTTGCTAAAATTGTAATGTTTTCAATCATAACACTACATTGTTACAATGCACTTCATAAGCCTAATATCTACTTCAATAAAAGACACAAACGTGTATTCATATTCATATGTATTTCCCTGTGCAAAGTTTTGCTAGATCTAAATAATGTGGTCAATTATGCACCAGCAGGTTTTTAAAACCTTGACATTTATACGATGGGCTTTGTCTCGTTGTCATTAATTTAGCAGCTTACCAATTCAAACTGTCCCATGAAGGTACACAAATTTGTATAGTTGCTTTCAATTTGAGGATCTTAAAGACCTCCAAAACTACACCAAGTATTTTAGTATCCCACCCCCTTAAAAGTATACACTTTCAAAAGTGGACAGTCACGGCTATTTCAAACGTAACATTTTTACAAACTTTTAATGCAGATACCAAAAATCTCTGCCAATTTGTATTCATTATCCCCCCTCCAATTTCCTTCTCCCCCCTCTCCAATTTCCTTCTTCTTCCCCCCTCACCAATTTCCTTCTCCCCCCTCCAATTTCCTTCTCCCTCTCTCCAATTTCCTTCCTCCCCCCTCCAATTTCCTTCTCCCCCCCTCTCAATTTCCTTCTCCTCCCCTCTCCAATTTCCTTCCCCCCCCTTCTAATTTCCTTCTCCCCCCTCCCAATTTATTTCTCCCTCCTCCCCTACCACTGTTGTAGCGTGGCCGAGCTCTGTATGGTCCGCGGATACAGGGAGCTTTTGTTTCCTGTACCCAGCCGGACTAACAGGAAGTGCACACTATGTGTGCACTTCTTGTTAGTCCGGCCGGGTACAGGAGACAGATGCTCCCTGTACCCGCGGACCAATAGAGGGCTCAGCCACGCTACAGTGAGGGAGTGACAGGAGGGAGTGCTGAGCACTTCCTTCCTGTCAGCCCCTCTCCTCATGCTGCGCCCGGGCGGTGCACCCTCATGGACGCACCAGCCCGGGCAAAGTTGCAGCCGCCTGAGGCTCGATACAGAGCGCTCGGGCGGCTGCAGCATGAGGGGGGCCGGCACTCCTGGCGGCGCCCCTTCCTAAGGGGCACCCTAGGCGGCTGCCTAGTCCGCCTAACAGGTAGCGCCGGCCCTGCATCAGTATAAGCTTACAGTTGTACACACATTAATAGGAGTGCTGCAGATCTCATGCTTCTATATACACCTAGCACAGGGGTTAGATGCAGATGTTGTGGACTACATTCCCATAATGCTCTTACCACCATAACTGTACCAAAGCATCAGGGGAGATGTTGCCTACCCCTGAACTAGGATAAGAGTGTATTGGTTGAAGGTCCCAGAGTTGGTAGCGAAGAATATCAAATGTATTCATGTGAGCCTTACTTCCTTCATCTCATTAGCCTTCTGTTTTGTAATACATAATTGGCAATTGCAACTACAAATTTAAATAACATGTTTAATCAACAGGTTTCCATACATAATTTGATCATGTCCATATCAGTTAAATATAAAGCACATCTTGTATTATTAATGCATATGTCTATTTTAGGGTATATAAAATGTATAATCTGAGGTTCATATGTACATATTAAATGCTGCTATTCCAATATATAATGCAGATTAAGATATGCAGATGGATCATGACACCCTATTGCAAATTAGCCCTAAAATGTCAAAAGGGAAGCATAAAAAGTTAATCTTGGGTGAATATTACATTTTCTTTATATTTGCTACTCCATATGCTGTAGAGCCATCCGTTCAGTAAAACAACACAATGAGAAAATATATCACATGACAATACATCTATAAACCATGCGCATGTTAGCATTTGTGATATTTGGGAATGTAGTCATGGCAGCACTGCTTCGCCTTACCCTATTATCAAACAATAAAATAACAGTTTAATATCTCCCGTGCTGTGGCAACAGTTTATCCTTGAATTCACTACAGTTAACAGCTCTCTCAAGGAATAAGTAATCCAGATGTATTGAAGTCACGGTTCCAGGTATCGCAGAAACAAATATACAGATCCCCTTGAAACGTGTGATTCATTCACAGTTATCATAAGTATTTTCATGGTTGGGTGAATTCAACATAAAGAAAATATTTACTAGCCTTTAAAGTAACGCTCTGCTGGTAGAAATAAAAACATTTATTTATAGTGTTCAAATTTTCTGTTGTTTAGATTTTGGGCCCCTTTTCCACACGAATCCAGCTCCAAGAGGGTCTCCTCACTTCATCTCTGCTTTGCCCCTGAGGGGATCCTTTCTTCTAATGCACTGGGGTTCTATATCACATGCATGACAATTGCCACAATGCAATTGAGAGCACATTCCTACCTGTTTGATTGAAAGCCAGGTGTGGGCAGTTTTAAAAGTGCTGATTTCTCTTTAAATCAAAAGACACCATCTTTCAATGTCTGACTCCTATTACATATTTCTTTATGATTTTCTTATTGTCTGCTTGAAAATTATGCTTGATCTGAGAAAAGTAGTTTGTCTCATTCACTATCAAAGTATTGTCTCGTTCACAATAAAACAAAAGAATATATACAGGGAGTGCAGAATTATTAGGCAAATGAGTATTTTGACCACATCATCCTCTTTATGCATGTTGTCTTACTCCAAGCTGTATAGGCTCGAAAGCCTACTACCAATTAAGCATATTAGGTGATGTGCATCTCTGTAATGAGAAGGGGTGTGGTCTAATGACATCAACACCCTATATCAGGTGTGCATAATTATTAGGCAACTTCCTTTCCTTTGGCAAAATGGGTCAAAGAAGGACTTGACAGGCTCAGAAAAGTCAAAAATAGTGAGATATCTTGCAGAGGGATGCAGCACTCTTAAAATTGCAAAGCTTCTGAAGCGTGATCATCGAACAATCAAGCGTTTCATTCAAAATAGTCAACAGGGTCGCAAGAAGCGTGTGGAAAAACCAAGGCGCAAAATAACTGCCCATGAACTGAGAAAAGTCAAGCGTGCAGCTGCCACGATGCCACTTGCCACCAGTTTGGCCATATTTCAGAGCTGCAACATCACTGGAGTGCCCAAAAGCACAAGGTGTGCAATACTCAGAGACATGGCCAAGGTAAGAAAGGCTGAAAGACGACCACCACTGAACAAGACACACAAGCTGAAACGTCAAGACTGGGCCAAGAAATATCTCAAGACTGATTTTTCTAAGGTTTTATGGACTGATGAAATGAGAGTGAGTCTTGATGGGCCAGATGGATGGGCCCGTGGCTGGATTGGTAAAGGGCAGAGAGCTCCAGTCCGACTCAGACGCCAGCAAGGTGGAGGTGGAGTACTGGTTTGGGCTGGTATCATCAAAGATGAGCTTGTGGGGCCTTTTCGGGTTGAGGATGGAGTCAAGCTCAACTCCCAGTCCTACTGCCAGTTCCTGGAAGACACCTTCTTCAAGCAGTGGTACAGGAAGAAGTCTGCATCCTTCAAGAAAAACATGATTTTCATGCAGGACAATGCTCCATCACACGCGTCCAAGTACTCCACAGCGTGGCTGGCAAGAAAGGGTATAAAAGAAGAAAATCTAATGACATGGCCTCCTTGTTCACCTGATCTGAACCCCATTGAGAACCTGTGGTCCATCATCAAATGTGAGATTTACAAGGAGGGAAAACAGTACACCTCTCTGAACAGTGTCTGGGAGGCTGTGGTTGCTGCTGCACGCAATGTTGATGGTGAACAGATCAAAACACTGACAGAATCTATGGATGGCAGGCTTTTGAGTGTCCTTGCAAAGAAAGGTGGCTATATTGGTCACTGATTTGTTTTTGTTTTGTTTTTGAATGTCAGAAATGTATATTTGTGAATGTTGAGATGTTATATTGGTTTCACTGGTAATAATAAATAATTGAAATGGGTATATATTTGTTTTTTGTTAAGTTGCCTAATAATTATGCACAGTAATAGTCACCTGCACACACAGATATCCCCCTAACATAGCTAAAACTAAAAACAAACTAAAAACTACTTCCAAAAATATTCAGCTTTGATATTAATGAGTTTTTTGGGTTCATTGAGAACATGGTTGTTGTTCAATAATAAAATTAATCCTCAAAAATACAACTTGCCTAATAATTCTGCACTCCCTGTAAACACGGTGAAGTATCTTACATTTGGTCTTGAAATACTGTATACAATAGGTACAAAGAAGGTTGGTTCATGAGCTATGCAAGATAAGTAATAGATCCTTAGCGAATATTATCAGTCTGTGTAGTCCTTAGCAAAACACGTTTCGCCTCTCTAGGAGGCTTCTTCAGTTGCTGTGCAGTGATCTCTAATTCGTTTTCTTTTTAACTTGTGCTTAATTGCCACTTCCCAGTGTTCTGTATTACTGCCGTAAATAATGTCCGTCTACTTCGGGTATTGCGTTCCACCGGTGGACGAACTTCCGGTTTAATCTC